AAAACATATTGGTATAATCTAGGCTTTCTTTCATTATAACAAGTTAATAATATATACTCTCTCACATCATGTTTTCTATAGATTCTACCCTTTTACAGGTTGGATACATACAGTACAGGACACCTAACTATAGGATGTATAACACATATCATATTCTTCTGTACATAAATATTGATGAAAATCCTGACATGAACAAAATAGATTCAACTAAATAACAGCACTGACTGTTTTATATGTCATATGTCTTATATGTGAGACTGCCATAGAGAGATATGTCAGTCAAAATATCCCAGCTGTACTTCACTTTTCTTTGTGTAAACTGGATTATACCGGTTCATTTAGAAAGCTAGTCCACATCTTAGACATCTAATTGAATAATTGACCTGTCCTCTACTTAGGGATTATTTTGACCAAGTCAACAGTGAGTCTGGCAGTACTTTTGCAAAACTAGGTTCACTTTTCAATAATTTTCCCTATTTGCTTTATGTATTACTAGCTCAAATCCCTTGACATATGTCATAGCATGGTTACTGTATGGCAAGTAGTCATTACTGCATGTTGCAAGCAAACTAATCTAAACACATAACACTGTTGTTAACGGTTTACCTGAGGACGGGAGGGGGAAAGCAGAGAGAGCGAGAGCAGTTTCTTCCCAGGTTGCCCTGTCATGACACAGCGTGGGACGAGCCTGAGTGACACCTTAAACCTTCCTAGGGGATTTGTGGGATTGTGATTGGAGTGAAGGATTAGGGTTTTAGTGGCACACAGCAAACAATGGGTCTGTGGGTCAGTGTGTCAGTATATCAGTGAGTCAGTAGGCTTTGATTTTTTCCAGAGTAGGTCAGCTATCTGAGAGGGGCCAATGCAAGTTCTTCTTGGGGTGAAAGAGTACTCACCTGATCACATGTTAACACTGAACTGTGCTCATGGTTAAAAACCATCACACATGCAGCTGCATCCTCAGCCTTTACCCATGTTCTTCTCCTAACATAAACAATAATGCATTGTTGGGTGAAAGTGCTTTCAGCTGGCAAAGTGCATTCGTATTATCACACCATTATTTATGACCACCATTTACACACATTGTTGACATGTCACAGATCCTGTGACTCACTAACATTTGCTATGAGGTGCCATCAAGCCCAGTGAGCGATTTAACATCATATCATTAAGTCTTAGAAGTTTGGAATTGCCAAACCTGCAGATGTTTACAAGCACATCTGTTGTCCTGCAACTAGTCGCTTATTTAGACATCGCAACCTGCAATAAACACAAAAATACACATTTCACCAGCAGGAACGACACGTTCTCACTCTGAACTCGTCAAATGCAGCAGGTCAGTGCTTCAAATTATGACACAAAGTGAAAATGGGCTGGGCTGGCAGGAACAAGTGAGCAGAGGATGGATAAAGGAACACTTAGTTTTAACATATCTCCTGTTGAAACATCTGCCGCCCAAATACAATGGAGGTCAGTGGAAATTTGCTTGTGTCTAACAGAACATAAAAAGGGTTTAAGAAGTAAACATCAATGCTATTTTCCAGAAAGAATGGCCTGGTTACACTGAATAATCTACAGGCAATGTGTAAAGTTTTCACTACCTTTTCCTCAAACTTCCATTGCATCAGGTTGGTGACAGGAAACCGAGGAAGGACATCTCAAAAACCAGGCAAATAAAACTATGTGCAAGACTAGAGACCACCAGGTGTGAGTGAGAAAATATGCTTTGTGATTTGGGTGAACTGACCTTTTACTAAATTTGGTCTGTGCCAGTTCAGTTTATACAATACAACAGGTTGTGCCATTTCAAACACACTCTAAAACTGTAGCTAAGAAATGTGTCTTTTATTTGCCCGACAAGTGTATCCTGTACTGCCTTCGATATCCCCAAATTAGCTGTGTGCTGGTCACTTTATTTATTAGTGCTCACAACCTGGTATATGGTTTAAAGCTAATGCCATTAAAGCAAAATCGTACACCACATACTCTAAAAGCAGCGTTGTTGACGATGTAAGGGCTCCAGCTAACACTCAGTTAGTTTATGTTTCTGTGAGGCTAGGAGTAGGAACTTCTTACGATGTTGTGGTGAATCCAAAAGTCACAATTTAGCGTGAAAATTCCACTCAGTTCACCAAACAGAATTCCTTACTAGACCTTTAAAATAATGGGCCCTGAACTGGGACACTGTTAGTGTGCGTAGTATCGAGCAGTGTCACGTAACTTATTCTCTGTTATACAGCTCTTATTTATTTGAATTACAAACAGTCACTTAGTTCCGATTAGTTCCTTACTTGTTCTTTAGTAACTATTCTGGATTTTATGTACCATGTAGTCAATACTATTATTTTGCGTGGCACCTTATATAGATAAATTGATACTAATTCATTGTAGAGCAGTTTGCCATCACTCCAGAAGGGGGTGCCCAATACTCAGGAGGCCTCAGTAAATGCTTTCTGACTAGTAATGGCTTTTCTGACTTTTCTTAATTAATCAATTAGTTATTTGGTTGATGTCAGAAAATTGTGAAAAATATTGATTATTGTTTCCCAAAGCCCAAGGTGACATTCTCAAATGTCTTTTTTTGTCCACAACTCAAAGATAATCAGTTTACTGTCATAAAGGACTAAAGAAACCAGAAAATATTCACATCTGAGAAGCTGAAATCAGAGAATTACGCTTAATCAATTATCAAAACAATTGGCAATTGATTTAATAGTTGACAACTAAATGATTAATTGTCTAATCGTTGTAGCACTAGACCCTAATGCTAATTATCTCTAAAAAGTTTCTCATTTACTTGTTTGGTAGGCATGACTGGTATTGATTAATATATTTAACAGTAAATTGGCATTACGAGTATTCACAGGGATGTTGAAGAATAAAGATACACACCCCCGCTATATATTCTGATGTATGTTGCTAAGGTTTTAACCAGTTATCCCACTGGCAATCATTTCATGATTGTTTTTTTTAAACTGTTCAACTGGTAGGTCTATGTGGATGGTGTACAGCTGTAATGTATGAGGTACGCCCCCTCACATTATTGCTTGTAATCTTAGGTAGGTGTGATGAAACCACTCTCAACTGACTTTACAGAAATGTCATTGCAGCCTGATATCAAATTTATCATGTGACACTAATATGATACAGTTAACACCTATGTTTATGTTCTGTGTGCACATGGGTTTTGTTTCAGAGTTTCTGTCAGATCTAAATTGTTGAGCTATTGCTTCACTTGAATCTCTGAATAATACTATTTAACATAATGATTGTGTTGCATGTGCTTGGTGATAAAACACGTGCATCAGCCTCTTGTAGTATTTGTAGCAGAGGTGCTCGGGACATTGCTCTCTACAAACACTAGGTTATGAGAGTGGGTGAGGATAGGGTTGTGTGTAAGTTAAAGGGTAAGAAAATAGATAATTGGATCCACATATCAATGACAGTGCTTTGCACAATGTGATTCACGACAGAATTAACTCAAAGTCTACACTTTATTTATTAGTATTAACTACATTTGGCCACAAATATTTTAGCATGTAACTGCTGAGTTATCACTGATGACCTTGACATATTAGACCATCAGTAACTTGGACAGGAATATGTGTAAACAACTTGTAAAAATCAAAAAAAAAAAAAAATGTAGTGCCAGCCTACCCTCAGACACTGATTATAGTCCATTTTGGATGGTGTATCATTGGCTGTAGAAGGGGAGTTGGCAAATTTGGGCAGGAAAGGACATTATGTTTTTTGAAAGTGCAAGTCAGGGAATTTGGCGATTGATCTTTAGGACATTCACTGTGAGGTGGTTTGAAAACATGGAACAGTTGTTTATGTAAATGTAAATTCTCTAGTTTGTATATCTTATGCATAGAAATCTCTATGGATGTGTGTGCAGTCATTGTTCACTGTATGGTGACGTGTGGGTGTGTACTTACCATATTGATATAATAGAAAAGCAGCAGGACACACACTCTTCCTAGTTCTGTGCCTTTTTACAGCTCATACAGCTCATACAGCTCTTGCAAACATGTATAATTTGTAGTCTCTTTGTAAAATTAATTTTACTTCTATACAGTTGTCTCAGCTTTAGATTGTAATCAATGCCAGGTGCAAATGCATGATGTGAAAATGACGACATGCCAAGGGAATGTGACAACTGTTTACACATCAAACACAGACAGTCCATAAAGCCACTTCTACTATTTGTATGAGCAAACATGCCCTTTGCCTTACAGACAGTGCCAGTGTGATGACTTGATGGGTAACTTTCTCGTGCTGGCTAAAATTGGGAATCTGATGACATGGCATGTGTGTTCAGATGCAAAGAATTCTGTTAACTTATAATGATGCATTTGAATCTGTGCCAACAGAGCATGTGCTCCTTTAAATGTCCAATGTATAACATTTAGGGGGATCTATTGACATAAATGGACTACAATATTCATATAAGTTTTCAGGTTTGTTTTCATTAGTGTATAATCTTCTCAATATAGAAATCGATGTGTTTTTGTTAGCCGTTTTTATCTACAGGCGCAACAGGTCGCCTTCATGGAGTCTGCCATGTTTCTACAGTACACATTGTTTTTATGAGTTTTGTGGCCAACTACAGCTGCCAGCAAATCAGTTATATATGCCAGTAAATTCTACACACTGGTCCTTTAAGAGAACTACAACTGGCTTTTACTGTTTTATTCTTTATGCACTTGGTAAAATGTAAAATGTGTATTCTTGCTGCTTATGAAAAAAACTCCAATGCATTGTGAAATGCATTGAGCTGGAATTTCTAAAGTTTTCTAAGTCAAAACATATTCCCACTGTTTCCCAAAGTAGTGCCAGCCAATACATCTTGTAGGCAAAACTGTTAAGAGAATAAGTATATAAAGAACTATTTGTATTCTCAGATATCTTTTATAATGACAGTTGTTCTTTCTGTTGTAAAGGTGCATTGTCATTGTGACTAAAGAGGAGAGATTTTAAAAAATATAATGGAAGTAAGCTTGATTTAAAATATTTATTTATTTATTAAAAATATACTGTAATCATATAATTTCAGCACATTATGACAAATGTTTTATATTAATTGCATTACAAATCATTCATATGCACAAAATGTATGATATAAAAATAAAGACAATCATTGTAACTTTAAATTGACACAACATTCAAATCTCCACTTCCACCACCCGTTACAGTATACAGAAATTCCTGCATCATCTGTGTGCTCTGCAAACACATGCAATACAGAGGATTGCATTTAAACACAACTAGAGCTTAAGAAAATAAGCTGATTGACATTTGCTTTCAGTAGGCCTATTTACATTTTCTAGGTTGTGCTCACCTGAGTCAAGCAAAATTTGCTCTAAAAATACAGTAGGGTGATAAAGTGCTTAGTAAGTTACGTTACGATAGCACCTCAATGTCACATTTAGTCCTGGGACAGGGGGTGCATACAAAATAAAATAATCAACAATAAACGCTAGCGTCAAAATGATTTTACGCAGGTTTAAACTAAAAGAAATACTACTAAGTGCAGTTTTTAGAGGCAACAGAGAGAGGTGAAACAAGTTGGTGGAATATTTAGACTGCTGTAACTTGTTATAATCTTTGGGCGAAATGCCCCATCTTATTGACGGAAAAGTTTCCTGTGTGTCATGGCAGTACAGTTTACCAACACAGTAAGGACAAAAGAATGAAACATCATCCAGGAAGCAGAAACGGTCTTTGACTTTTACACTGCTTAGTGTAAACATAGGCGATAAGTAGACAAGGCCTGGGTCTCAAATCCATACTATGGACATCTTTGGTACTAGCAGTGCAATGCTTTTGTAGTTGGTATACAAGAAATAATTGCACTATATAATTCTTCCAAACATTAAATAACACAAGGCATGTGCTGACAGGTGTCTTTGACTTTATAACACTACTGCCAAATTCTTTTTCTTTTTTTAAACTCATATACAGTGGCCTTAAAGTCTTTTTCTGATAATTTTTTGTTATGCTTATTTGTTTTGTGAGCTGTTGCACCACTGTTTGCATTGTGGGACAGTAATGCCCACCAACACCAACACTCTTCAAATCAAGTTATTTTAGTATGGTATGTACATAGTACTGTGCATACTCAAAACTAAGTTAGAATGGGATATGAGGAAAAATTATTAGGAGATTGTCCGAGCTGGAAAGCTTCCAATTTCACATCACCCAAAGAAAACTTTAGACTCTGAGAGATATAAATGCCAACGTGCAAAAGTACATGCTCATTGACCCACCTGCCTCACAGACCTTCACATTACCTGACACTGAAGCAATAACTAAATGTTTGCTCACGCTGCTGAGAAATGACCTTGGGTTCATACACTGTCAGAGCCATAGTTACCCAACTGATTAGGCGACTTTTGTAAATAATACAGTGGAGATGCTGATCAAACATATTTCAATATGCATGCAGCATCGGCTGTACAGACAGAACTCAGGGCAGCTTGTAACCATTTCAGTTCAGTGTTTTCTTGCACTGCTTCTTGCCACAAGTTCACAATCAAATGAAAATGTTTTTTGGATGCAGAAAGAAAAAAAAGTCATAATACCAGAATACAAATAATTGGGTAAAAAGTCCACATAAATGATTCCATTGGTCAGTAATGTAAAAAGAAATTTAAAAAAATAGAAGCGATATACTTTAGTATTCAGACCAAGATGACTTAATACTCAATGTCAATGTTGCACTTAGTCATTGCGAGTTAATGGAGAAGGCACACTTTAAATCAAGGATCTCTTTGATTGTTTTAAAAGCCTTGCTTTAAAATGGCAGCATTCAATTAGGCTAAGAAAAGGCAGAAGCCAAGGAAATGACTATATACATTACCATTTTAGTTTGAACTGAATCCCAGCAGCAATTTTGAATAAATAACCTATATATGACGAAAAAGATTGCATTCTTTAAAGCTTACACTACAACAAAGGCTTTATATTAATCTCTCTGTGTTTTGTGTGACCTCCATAAATCAGCCCCGGCCTGATCTGCTTGTCAACACTATAAATGTCTGACATTAATAACACACCTTTCTTATCTGTGTTGCGTATGCCATATATTTAGGGTTAGTTTCTACTCTCTCTTTAATGTATGCCTTTGACATATGGGTGAAGAAAATTTGTCTTCATTCAGACTCAGTGTATAATCTTATTTAGATTGACTCGGCTGGTTCTAGGCACTCTTTACATACTGCATCTTATAAGACTCTTACAAAATCATAATGAATGACAAACAGTATGGTTTCTTAATATATAACAAAAGAAATAAAAGAAAATAAAATTTTGTATATATTCTTGATAGAATATGCCATGAGTGCCATGAAAATAGCATATACTATAATATTCTCTTATTTTTTGTGCCTGCTATTCCCCTAACTTCAATTTTCATCTTCTCTCGTTTGTATCTGTCTGTCAACAAATACACACGTAATTCTTTTCAGTTTCCTGCATTAAAAACAAATCTACATTAACTATGCCATGTCTTTTATACTCAGTCCATTATGTACATCCACAGGACTCCACTATCATATCAGGGACGTCCGTTTTGACGATGCTGTGCTGAGAGTTGAAGTACACCATGGAGAGTGGCCGCCGCTCAGTGGGAACACAACATGAAGATGCAGCCGTGTTAATGCCATTGACTTTCAGCTGGCTGAAGACAGTGGCGTGGAATGATGATGCTATGCCTGGGGAGCCGGACAGATGTTGGGGGCACTGACCCATGCAGTAGTTCATATGGTAACCTTCGGGTGCAATGATCCAGTCGTGCCACTGGATATCCTTAAACTTGATGTAGAAGTCTCTCTTGCAGCACACAGTAACATCGTCACCACAGCGAAGTGAGCGCTTCCTGAGTAAATGCTTGGAGGGGTTTTCTCTGAGACGCACCTGGGCCACCATGAAGGGCTGGTTGGGGGTGTCAGCAGAGCCATCCAGGGAGCAAAGGTTCTTCCCATCCTCATCACAGCTGACCTCCAGCCGCAGTCTGTGCTGTCCGCCATCCAGGAAGGCTTGCAGGGTGCGGGTGATGGGGAAGGTGTGCCAGTTACTTTCCTGGACCTCCAGCATCTTTTCTATCACCAGGGTGCGGTTAGAGCCTGACTGCCCACCATCTGCGGAGAGGAAAACCCGGGCAGAGAGGCGGGAGTCTCGGTGAGGATCCTCAGAGGAGCGGGCGTAGATCCACAGGGAAGACTGGAGGACCTGGATACTTTGGCCATGTTCCTGCATAAACTGGAAGGTAAGACTGAGGCTGGCCTTATCACCAGTTTCTGTCTCATCTACGGATCAATGACAATTTAAGAAGAAGACAGACTGTTAATATTTTGGTCATTTCACAGATTGTCACCTGTTTTACACAAGCATTTTCTGAAACATGCTTGCAGATTAAAAAATATATATATATGAAAATAATGGACAATCAGTCATTCTACTGCCGCCCTTTTTAAAGCATTTTACCTGATCACTATGTTACGGTCGACCCTTTATATAAACTCACAATAAGCACTGCAGACATATTATTCTTGTGTTTACATCTAAATATTGATGACAGATACTGTAAACCTAAACTTTAACCACATTTTATGGAACAGTACAACTACATAAAGTAGTTTGATACACGGACACCATGACCCAATTTATGTCCATTTTACGCACTGACGTGCGTAAAGCGCGGTCAGGGTGCCCTCCATACAGAGAAAATACAGCTTAACAGTGTAAAAGGTGAATACCAAACTTACTTATATCTGCAAAGCTGACTATTTCATAGCCTTGATCTTTGGTAGGTATATTGTTTTCTAGTTCAAGAGTACCATCCTGCCTGACGCGCCCCGAGTGCAGTTTGCGCAGGGCAGTGAGGAGCGCCACCCGGGGCACCGTATGAGTGATGTTTGGTCTCTCTTTCAGGTGCAGCTTGTCCAAAAGTTGCTGTTTGGCAAATTCTATCATCAGCCTTTGCTCCACGTCTTTCTCCATCGCCGGCAAGCCACAGGACGCGCAGCCCGGAGAGCCACTGACACAGACATCCTTTATCAATAAGGGTGCCAAAAACAGAAACGCTGGGAATGAAAAAGACAGCGGCATCCTCGACTCTGAAGTAAATACATGCATTGTAGGGCTCGGCGTGTGTAAAAGAACTTATAATAAATCTTCAGATCCTTTTCGCCTGAGTTGTTCTTTGAAAGTGACAAGTTTCCCTACTGTTGTCAGAGGTCCTCATTCGCAGGTGGACACCGTGAGGGCAGGAGTTGAGAGAAATGAATGGTGTTTCACCCTCCTGATGGTAAAGATATCTGAGGTAATCCACCAAAAGTGGTGACACGTTGGAGGGACGCACCAATGAGCGCATCGGGGCACCGAGGAAATTACTGGCAAAGCATCTGTCTGTTGTGCTCACTCACACAACACTCACAAAACACACGTCCACACGTAGGCTACTGACTCACACAGTCACAGACACAGACATGGGACAACTAGTGCCACAAAACTTGTCAACGATACACCTGCTACAGGACCGTACTCGCTGCTTTGCATGAACAAACCCGTATGCTTTTACAGTGAGGGGCTTTTGATTAGGTTTTTTATTGTGGTTGGGATATAATGAGGTCATCACCTCCGTTTATCACAACCGGTAGTTTCCGTACCTCGTTGTCCTCTCTAGGGCAGCTGAGCAGGATACGCAACCTGCCGTCACTCTTGCCGATCAAAGTTGAAATTCAGTGCCCTTTAACCCAGTTCCAGAGCACACGGGCTTTCATAGCCACCAAACAATTGAAGTGTAGTTGAGGTTTACAGGAGTGCTCGAGGCTATGAGGTGGAGACTGCGGTATTTGAAACACGTTCCTTCATGTTCCCTGCATGGTGGCATAAATATACTAACAAATCGATGCTTGCTGTGTGTGTGTGTGTGTGTGTGTGTGTGTGTGTGAGACAGAGAGGGAGAATAATGACTCTCACTTTGTCATGGCTTTGCCCATACAAGTCTTGTCTGTTTGGGTTCTCACAGCATTTGTATGCATAATATAAATTAGAAATTGAAAAAAAAATTTTTATTTACTTTGGACAGCCTTAAATGTAGTCTTTTTGCACTGTGAACTGGCATGGTTGGCACCTGACAGCACACATGCTGGCATGCAATGTCCTGATTTCTACTTATAGTAATGTGCATAATGGCATAAAGTGTTTTGTAGCATATAGTTAGTTTGAAAAGAGTTAGAGTGTCAAGAAAGCTAAGCTGACAAATCATTTCTGTAGTGTGGACTTGCACACTAAAGCCACCAAATTGAATTCAGTAATATGGTGCTAATACATAATAGTCTAACATTTCACAAACTTGGGTAAGGAGGCCTACAGCTGTATGCCCCTCATGGTCATTTAAAAGCTACAATATGTACACATAATTAATCTGCTGGAAAATGCCATGTTGACCTATAATAGGACACTGTTTGAGTGTGTTGTCTTCCACATAGACACTTTTGTTGGGAGTTTAAACAATTAAGAACAGTAGCCTATATACATATGCATACAGGATATAGACATCCTGTTCTACCTGCCCATAACCGGTTGCCTTTAAGCCTATAGCTTACATTTATTACATTACTGCACAACCTGTCCACATAGTTTATTCATTTTATCACTACTGTTCACCAGTCTACCACAGAATTACATCTTATGTTATATTTTTATTTTATTCCATTATACATGTATTCTATTTTATTTCCATATATTTAAATTATTCTCTTTTTTATGTCTTAAATTCCATGTCTTTTTTTTTTCTTTTTACACATTTTGTGAGCAAGCATGAGAACAAGAATGTCATTGCCAATCAATGCTTCCCTATAATTGTTGTGAATATAACAAATAAAGAAGTTGAACATGCGGTTGAGCGACAGGGCCTCACTGTGGCAAAGAAGTACTTGCCTGCCGACATGTGGTGAATTTTAGAAACTACAATAAACTTTACTTACGTATTGGTTGTTGCCTTTTAATAATGTGTGACACTCAAGTGTACAAATTAAAACTAAATACTTTTCTTAAATCAAAATAACCATGAACATGCATTTCCTAAGAAAGATTGAAAAGGTTAAAACTCATTGATTGATTGATATTTTTAATATATATATATATAGATATTGTGATATTATATAATAGGTGGATTATACCTGGTATGAGGGATATATTATGTATAACTGACAAAAACACACCTTTTTAAAATTGCTTTTAATGTTTAGCTTAGTCTGATGTGTTTTTAATGTTTTACTATTTGATGTTGTTTTGCTGCTTTTATGTTTTTATGTAAAGTGTCTTTGAGTATTTAGAAAAGCGCTTATAAATAAAATTATTATTATTATTATTATTATTATTATTATTATTATTAAGTGATGCAGTGATTTAACAGCGCATAGTGACCAATAAACCTTTATTATTGTCCAGCCAAATTATTGGAGAGTATTATCACAGCAGGCGACACAAATTCAAACACATATTCAGGGGGAGAAAAAAAAACAACCCCAAACATAAACACAGTTTTTAACACTTTATGAGTGATAACATTTGATGAATCTTAAACAAGTTTACTGTACCCTGAACGTCTCCCCGCGACTGAACTACGCCGCTGACGTAAACAGTCAGTGAGGGGGGGGGGGGAAAGTGACGCTGACACACACACACACACACACACACACACACACACACACACACACACACACACACACACAAGCCGGAGCCGAGAAAGGGGGAATAGCGTTTTGTTTCTTTTTTCTTTAATTTGTGTCCTTTTATTCTTTGGCGTTTTGTTGTTCTTCAGCTGTACTCCCGTACCGGAGTCGACTGCCTCGCTCCTCGGCGCTTGTTATCTACCGTGGACCCTCCATGCCGCCGCCGCCGCCGCCGCTCTCCCCTCACGCGGCGCTATTTTGACAGTCGGGGTCTCGGTGAACCAGCTCGAGCTAGCAGCACCATTATATTAGCACTGGTAAGTCATTCGGGGGAGCTAACGTAGCTAGCAGCAGCAGTTAGCGCCTCCTATTTTGAGACCGTGACAGTGCTAGGTCCGGGTTTACAACAAGGTTCGTGTCGCCGTGAACACACGCTACTTTGTCGGTTAACTAGTTGTTGTGTAAACGCTGGGGGTCGCTGGAAAGAAAAGGCTAGCTAGCGGGGCTAACGTTAGCTAGGTGGCTAGGTGGCTAATTATACTCGCCAGAGGAAGCAGGCTAATGCCGTGAGCTAGCTATTGTTAGCGTGGGGGCAAGCTAATATTTTCAGTGAGCTGCTCAGCCACGGCTCTGACCACACTGCCATCTGTTCTCTACAGACACAACTTGATTCTCCACACGGACCCGCGACACACGGCCATCAAAATCGGTGAGCTGAACCCCTTTTTTTTTTTTTTTCCCATAAGACGACTTGAGATAACTTCTAATTGGTGATACATGATTTTAAGTCAGATGTGTGAACTCAACCTTAAGCACCATCTTTAAAGTCCACGTTCTCCATACCTGACACGAGATGGCCATGTTAACATTTTATCCGTGTTACTTGAAACTCTGGGGAATTAATGCGTGACTGAAGTGAGATATTTGGTTGGATTTGAATGAAGGGATTTGAAGTAACTGTGTTTTGTAGCTGTCCTCAGCAACCATACATCAAGCCAACCTTAGCAGGTGACAACAAGGTGTTATTAATACCATTACACCCTGGCGTGTGTGCCTGTGTGTCCACTGATGGCCCAAAAAACGACAGCAATCAAGATGTAGATGTAATAACTAATTAACCGGGAGTTATAAACCCATAGTTTGTTTTAAAAAATGTTGAATGTTGCTGCGTTATGAGGCTGAATTAACCTGAAAACAATTACACCTCACTACTAGACTGTGTTTATTGGACTGTGGCATTTAAGTTAAGTTTTGTGATAGTTGCATTCCTAAGCTTTTATTGCAACCCTCCAAATTAAGGTTACCCTAATTGAGACATCTTTGACTTATTAAGATGAAACAGAAACAAGCATGTGACTCATTTTGTGTTTATTATCCTTAGTTTTCAGGGTTGAGAAGAATATAAATAAGAAAAAGGGTTTATGGAGAAGTACTTGACAAATGCTCATCAGTGTCTTATGTCTTGGCTCCAGCTCTACATTTTGACACTCGGGCTGAAAATAGATGGCAAGACTGTTGTGTCAAACTAGGTGGGATCACAGCACAGACTGTCGGAGCTGTGATTCAAACATCTGCTCTGGGAAAACGGCATGTGTCTAAAAAAACATAAATATTCATATCAGTTGGCATTGGCCAGTCATGTGATGCAGAGAACTGGCAAGGTGCAGGCAAGGGTTGCTAATTTAGACCCATCAGATGTTAAGATTGTGAGGTTGTCTTGAACACATTTGTGTGTTCCTTTTGTGCACTCGAGGTGAGGTTATGGACAGGTTAGGCAGGTACCTCTCCTGAGCAATTTGAGTTTTTCTGGTTTTGGGTATACACAGTGATTCTTTTAGATGTGCTCCTATTGCAGCACTTTTCTCTGCATTTGTAAATGGTGCACATATGTTTCCTAAATAATATTGAGTTCTGTTGCTGGGTTAAGGGAAGTATCATTGAGAAAAGACTTATCCATAACGCCTGATGGAATGAGTCATTGAATCAACAGTCTGCTGTTGCTAAGGTCAGCAGTGAGAAAGAGGGAGTATCCTGCCTCCCTATCAACATGTTTTCCCTCTTATACCCTGCAAGTTGCAGATCTTTATGTTACATTTCTTTTCAAATTCTGAAGCAACAATGCAAAGTATAAGAGTTGTCCATTTTGTGTGCCTATTCAGTGTTTTTTTTATTTTTATGCTTTATCTATGTTGGACGTAACCTACTTGCTTTTACTGTATTCACTTCCCACAATGAAATATTTATGCAAGCCAAGATTATTGATGTAAGAACTGGTTTTAATACTGTATGTTATGGGCTGATGTAATTGCAATAGGCAGCTATGATCAAATAAGACATGATCTCAGTTTTATTTGTCAGCCAGGTATCCATATCTTCTTCTGTCTCTGAATCTCTGTTTGCAGCAGCATAAGCAGAAGAGTGGCTTTTTCTAGAGAGATTTGAAGAGCTATTTAT